CCCCCCTGGGGGGTGATTTCTCGCTTTCTGTCTCTATGTCTCTCTCTGTCTGTCTGGCGAGCGCACGCGCCCTACAGTGAAAATCTCTCTAAATAAATAAATAAATAAATAAATAAATAAATAAATAAATAAATAAAAAAAAAAGAACTCTTATGTTTTCAAAAGAAAAGAACCTTTACATTGGTGATAATTGGTGATAAGGACAAGGTCCTTATTCTAAATATCAAGTGGAGGTTCCCCCTTCCTCAAAGCAGGAAAAAAGAACAGAAGTGAAGTGATAGGGTAAAGGAAGGGACAGAGGGGCACAGCTGAAAAGAGTTAGCGATTGGTTAGAGCCAGACCTGGTAGAAGCATCAGCAGAAACAGCTCCCAAGAGGAAGAGGCAGGACAGGCAGAGGCAGAGATGGAGAACAAAGTAGAAAGAAAATTGGCGCTTTCCATTCTCTGTTCACATATTTTCAGCACACATCCTCTTTTTCCCTCCTTACGAGAGGAATCGTCCCAGGCGGGAAAAAGCTGCACCTGAACCCCTAGCCACTCTTACACAATGCAGTTCTCAAAATTTGGGAGCAATCTCCTTATTAACTGAAAAAGGAATAGGCTGGAAACTACCAAAGGATTGCAAATGAAAATGAAAGCTAAAGAGCTCTAATTTGGAAATTAGGATTAGAACTAGGAGTTTCCCCATTTAGGCAGGTATGTAAACTAGAAGAGGTTAAAAAAAGAAGAAAAGAAAGAGGCAGTAGACTAACTTCAAAGGGCTCTCTCCTGGCACATCCTGCTCTCCCAGGATCCCAACTCCTAACCCATTTTAAGGAAAGGCAAATTTACATTTTTTTTAAACAAAAACGTTATTTGTAAAAAAAAAGATTTTAGAATCCATCTTGTCTAATCCCTTTCGTTTAATAAGTGGGAAAATAAACCTATGGGCCCACAGAGAGTAAGTGATAGTCAGAGCCCAGTCCCCCAACCCTTCCTAGTGCCTTTGCCACTCTCACTTTCATTTGTCGCCAGTCTTGGTTTTGAGCCTCACCCTCATTCCTCTCCTCACAGTCCAATCCCGTTTCTGCCTTACCGCACCTCTGAAGAGATAAGAATAGGGTACACTTGTTCCATTCATAGGCTCAAAGACAGCTATTCTCCCCTCCCTGTCTTCTCCCCCTGCTCCCTACCCCCACCTTTCCTAGGCTCCTTCTGCCCAACCTCTTTCCTCTCCTTTTCATTGTCTGAACTGCCCCCTGCCCCCTGGAGGCCCTGCCTCCTCATTCCCCTAACCCCACAATCCCTTTCAACAAGCTTTGAGTTTGATAGAGACCAAAAATGATGCTTTGGCAGCGGTGACGGATGGGTGTGATCTGCCTCCTACAGGAATGCTATTTAAAGGGGCAGCCTCACAATCCGCTCCTTCCAAAGTGACAAGAGAAAAAACCTGCTCCTCAGTGTCTCCAGAGCTGCAAACTCCGCTCAAGTTAACTTCTGACTTCCTCAACCTGCAACTTGGCCTGCTGCTCCTGCTTCCTATTCAGGTGGGAGGGAGAGTACTTGACAACTCCTTGAGGTGTGGGGGCTGAGGAGGGATTCATCTTCATCTCCTTTGATGACAGGTACTTAGAAGAAGCAGGGGGCCCTTTAGGGAGGAGGACTAGAACACTCTTCCCTCAACCTCGTGAGTGAATTTCAACCATGTGCCAGCTTCTCAAAGTCAAACTTAGTTGGAGAAGAACTGACACAGGCATGAGGACCTAAAGTCAAGATGTCTTGTCCCTACTGAAAACCTTTGCTCCTCCTGGGTTCTGGAGCTCAAATCATGGTTCCCTTCCCGCAAGGAAAGTACCAAAAGGCAAGATCCCTTAGGCCAGGCTGGGCCTTCTGCACTTTAAGGTTGCCCTCATCTGCCCATTGAATAGAACACCTTGGAGATGGTGGGGTGGAGGGCAGTCTTTCTGCTCTCCAAAGGAAAAGGGAGCTTCTCAGTAAGCATCTTGCCCCAGGCCTGATGGGAGGGACAATTCCATCTCATTCCTACAAACAAGTTAATGGACGTTTTAATGAAAATACTCCACTAATGAAAATGCTGAGGCTAGACCCTACTTTCTGCCTGCAAAACAAAACAATCAGGATAGGAATCTCTCCCTGATATTTATTCCTCAGTTTTTTTGGGCCTAAGTAAAGCAAGCTGAAAATCTGAGAGCAGAAAGCAGTTCAGTCAATTTGTGTCTGTCTGTAAGAGACCCCACTAGTCAAAGGCGCAAATTGCTTAAAAGCCAAAGGGTCCTGTTACTGCATCTGTCTCTTCACCTCTAGACATTCACCTTTTATTTCTGTTGATAAGGGCCACTATGCCCTCACCTTCTGCTGCTGCTCATTCTAGGGTCTCTGGAATCTTAACAACTGAGCCTTCCTTTATGAAGAGGCATTCTGGTCAGGTATAATAAAAAAGGTCTAGGACTAAACATTGGACTTGGGTCTCAGTTCTAGTTCAAATGCTAAATGTGTGGCCCTCGTTAAATCAATTTAACATTTCCGAATCCATTTCCTGACCTGAAATGGGAAAGCTTCCCTGGCTACCTTGCAGAACTGCTCTCATACAAAAGTACATTATCCTAGAATAGTAAAGAAGGTCAAAGAGACCATGCCTGTCAGAGCTCAACCTCCAGTCATGAGAAGCTAGAGAATACACTTGTATGTCACTTATATTTTTCATTGTAAAAATTCACACATGTGGGCCTAATCCCCTAGTAGTAGAGAAATGTGTGTGTGTAATTATATGTTTATAAAAAGATATTATGTCAAATGACAAAAAATTAGAAATAGAGAGCAGATCTTTGTTGTCAGGGGTAAGGGATGGAGAAGGAGGTTGCAGGAGGGAAGTGGGTGTGATTATAAAGGAGCAACGTGAGGGATCTTTGTGTGATGAAACCACTCTGAATCTTCACTGTGGCGGCAGATAGGTGAACCTACACACACGTTAAAGCAATATAGAACTAAATACACAGAGAGAAACCAGTACCAGTAAAATAGGAAATCTAGGAATAAGATCGGTGGATTTTATCAATGTCAATATCCTGGTTGTGACGTGTACTATGGTTTTGCAAGATGTTACCATTGAGGGAAACTGCAGAGTGGTACATAGGATCTCTCTATTTCTAATAAGTTCATGTAGATTCACTATCTCAATAAAATTTTCAAGTAAAAACAAAAAACAAAACAAAAAGTATGATGTCTGCCTCTATCTTGCGGCAGCAACTTGTCTTGCTGTCCTCAGGAAGGCTCCTCGTAAATGGTTCTACATGCACATGGAAAAGGGATCTCCATCTCTTCAAGCAGAAGAACCCAGCAGAGAGAGGAGTTTAGGAGTGCCAGTTAGTGGCAGGGTGGTTAAGGTGGCTGGATCCCACAAGGCCAACCAGACCCAGAGGTTTAAAAACATGCCAGGGGTGTGTGTATGTATTTCCAAAAGGAGGGAGGAGTGGAGGAAAAAGGATTGTGGTGTGACCATTCACCCAGGGCAAGGGGGTACTTTCTCACTTTTCCCCCCTCTCTCTCTGTTGAGCGCACATTCTGACAAATTGTTTTCTTAAAAAAGGAGAAAGTCGGGACCAGCAGTTAGCGTAATGGCTATGTCGCTGAACTCCCATGTAGTTGACTGCAGTTTGAGCCACGGACCTGGGGGCTTAAACTCACGCTAAGCACATGTGCGTGCATGCCCAAGATCCCGAGAGGAGAATGGAGGAGAAGGGATTGTGGTATGGCCATCCCTCCTGGGGGGTGATTTCTCATTTTCTGTCTCTCTTTTTCTGGCGAGTGCACGAGCCCTATAGCAAAAATCTCTCCAAAAAAAAAAAGAGTGCCCAGGAGAGTTATTCAGATCCTTCTGAGCCTCCTCTTCTACTCTGCACTCAGTCTTTGTAGGCCTGACATGGAACACCCCTTAGAACAAAGTCCTTCCCAAAGTAAGAAAGGATGGCTGGGTAATGTATGATGCAGGATTCTCTGTGTTTTTTTTTTTTTTTCAATCCTAAAGGAAAAACACTTGTTGCCAAGGAAAACATGTGTGTTGATTATGGGTGGCAAGTTAAAGTGGTGACTAAGTCTGAATCTCGAGAAATAAAAAACAAACATACATACAAAATCCAAAAACAGCAATCAAATAAGTTTAATAAGTTTAATGAAGACCAGATGGTTTTGCTGAAAACCAGCAATTGCTTCCCTTTCATTGTGGAAGTATGGGCATGACCCTAATTAATCAACTAGATAATTATATTTGCCCATTCCAACCACTCTCGACTTGTGACATATATGATCAGTTGCTCTAGTCCTCCCTGGCAGTGGGTGCACTGCAGTGATGAATGGGGTCCACCGGCTCCCGTCAAGGAGTTAACTAAACCTAGTTTAGTACTATCCTGAATGCCCCAGGCTCTGTGACACTTGAAATTCTAATTAGTGCAGAAAAGGGCTAAGTTGAAACAGCTTGTACTCCCTCAAGGATACCCACTCTCAGGGCCCTACAACTTAATGAGGTCTATGAAGTTTAAGATCTAGAAGAGAAATCCCTGCCTGGAGCAACAGATGTACCTAGGCTGACAAGAGGATCCGGGGTTAAATTAGTCCCTCCAGATAAGTACCCCCAAATGGTATAAATGGGAAAACTCACATAAGCTTGGTTCAGTTTGTTGTCATAGGTCTAGGCTGACCTAAAAGCAACCTAGACTGACCTCTTGCTCTAGGTTGTAGGGATATCAGAGAAAAATCATAAAAGAACTCATTACCCACAAATGTGTAGCAGTGGACAGTGGAAATCTCGGAAGAATTCCTGCTTGCCCAGTAGGAAAGGCAGTCAAGATGAGGCCAAGGAGGAGCCCTAGTGACTTCTAAAAGAGCCCCACAAAGGAAAAGAGGGGTTTCTGTGCTACCATTCTGCAGTAGAAACAGATTGAACGTTTGCTGAACACATTTGAAAAAGGAAGAGAAGAGATAATCGTCATAATGAATGTGCAGGAGACAATAGCAGCTCCAGTGGGAAGATTATAAGCTCATTATGGTTTAATATGATGATTGATCATCTCTGTCCGCCAGCATTATTCTGGAATAGTGATGAAGGTCAGAGAGACCCATGCCTATCAGAGCTCAAGCTCCAGTCACCAGAGATAGAGAATATATTCATATCTCACTCTTTTTTTTTTCATTGTAAAAATTCACACATGTCCCCAACCCCCTGACTTTTCCCATAAACTGTCCTCCATTCCCCACAGCTGGACCTACTTTTCTATGATTCATCGACCCTGGATTGTCCCTCCATATCCTGTTCATCAGCTCTGGCTCCCTGCCCTCTCCCTAGTGACTTCACCCCCATTCCCCCCTTGAGAAAATGACCACAGCTTTCACTATGGGATGGGATTATCTAGGTCCAAAGGGCCCTTTAGTGAGTACTGGCAGGCACCCGGTTCAGGTGGAAGGCCCGGGATACCTCCCGGTAGGCATTTCGAAGCAGGACATAAGGAAAACAGGATTCTAGCATGTCCAGAGTCAGGAAGGATGACTCCTCCACCACCTGGAAGAGACAGGGAAAAGAAATGAGAACCTTAGCCAGAGCGTATGTCTTTGTTCTTCATGGAGTTCCTGAGCCCTTTGAGGTCTATAGAGCTACAAGTGAACGGCGTTCCTAATCACACTCCCCTCTTCCTTCCTCACTTAGTTTGGCTCTCAGAAGACAATGCAGCCTCTTCAGCTCTATTATAATGGTCCCTGCCCCCCTCATTAGAGCTTTGTGAAGGGCACAGATGCAGAAGGCAGGAAAGAACCACTTCTCTCCCGTTCTGGATGCAAACTCACATGTGGGTGGGCAGCACAGGTGCAGGTAAAGATGGATAAAAGTGCCAATTACAAAGCTCTGCTGCAAGAGAAATAATTGCCACTGCAAGACAAAGGGGGTCCTGGAGTCACATGGGTTCTCTGTACTGGGCCTCAGTCTCCTCCCTCTCAGTACAGTGCTTGGGGAACAGCAAAGATGCTGCATAAAGGAGCAGGCATGATTAATTAGTTTAATTAGAAGCCTGTGTGCTGTGGTAATCCCAGCAGCCTCCACAGCCAAGCAGGAAGATAGATCAAGATGCCTGGATAAGTCTGAGAGTGAGGAAGGCTGAGGGTGGGGCTGAGGGAGAAGGGGTGGAGGTGGCAGAGGGGCCATGTTCACGAAGAGCAGCACAACTTGGTGTTGAGCTAGACACTCCCGGTCCCTGAGGAAGGAGCAGGGTGTGCTTCCTCAATCCCCTCCTCATCTAAGAGGCTATGGAACTAAAAAACATGTTCTAGGGAGAACTGTCCCATATCCTCTGGCAATTCACACAGATAGGCCTTCTCTAATATGTCTGGAATTTCAAGTCCTGAAAACTCACTAAGGAAAAGCAATCTATCATATCTTCTCTGACATGTCTCCCTCTCTGAAGTCCTTTCTAGTTTTTTGGTTATTTTTTTGGGGGGAGAAGTTTTTGCTATAGGGCGCATGTACTCGCCAGAAAGACAGAGAGAGAAAGTGAGAAATCACCCCCAAGGGGAGATGGCCATGCCACAATCCCATCTCCTCCATTCTCCTCTTGGGATCTTGGGCACGCACACACGCACCCGGCATGAGTTTAAGCTGCCAGGTCCGGGACTCGAACCGCGGTCAACTACATGGGAGTTCAGTGACATAGCCATTGTGCTAACTGCTGGTCCCCCTTTCTAGTTTTAATGTTTGTGAGATTTTGCTATTCTCAAACACATGCACATGAAGCAGGAGAAAATAACAGGCTCCTAACTGGCAGTATTTTATGGTAGTGGAAATAGCCCTAGAATGAAGACCAAGGAACTTGGATTCTGCACCCAAATCTCCTTCTGTGTTTTAAGGAGACCCTGAGTGTCACCTCTTCCTTCCTCTTCCTCAGTTTCCTAACCTATGACTTATACGTATGGGACCAATTGCCAAGATACGTTCTGTTCTGATATCTAAGATTCCATGATTCTATGAAAGAGGCATCTCTTCCCCCAGGAAACCCATGCCAGGAACAGGCTGACCACACTGCAGGTGGGTATTGCCCAGGCTTTGCAGCCAAGACAGAAAGACCCCAGGGAGAAAAGTGCTGGCCAGAATTTGGGGCTACAAGAGTAGCCTCTTAACTCAGAAGGCAGCTTCTTCCCCTTTAGTCATTTCCAATCTCAGTGGAAACATTTGCATTTAAATTGCTTTGCAGCAGCTAGTCCCTCAGGTCTCTCCCTCCAACAAAAAGTGCCTGTTCTTAGCCCTGCTCCTGCCACTCTGCCCACCTCACTGGGAGACTCCAAGGGGCAGACACTTTGGAGGGGTGAGAAGGAGAGTCAAAGCAGAAGGAGGAGGTAGACCTGAGTGCAATACAGAATCACCTCCCTTACAGAGCTAAAAACTGCTGGAGGAAATGAGGAGGTATGCCTAAGTCGTTCAGACACTCAAATGAGCCGTTAAGAAAGGGAACTAACATTTGCTGAACATCAACTATGGCCTAGACACTTCCACACATACTATCTCGTAAGTGAAACCACTCCACATCCACTTTTCTGGATAAAGAATCAAAGTCTCAGAAAGGTTAATTACCTTGCCAAGGGCCGTGCGCTCCAAATATGGTGCTCCACCCAGCCCAGTAGTGGCATTTGCCCTCCTCTGCCTGATCACTGTTCACCACACACACAGACATACACACACACATTCTCTTCATCAAGTTCCTTCATCAGCCCAGCTGAGGACTATTTCTAGCTTGAGAAACTGAGACACAGGTATCTTGCAGTGCCTGTGCCTTCCTGGATGGAGGACCAGAACGCCTGCCTCTAACATTTCTGGGCCTTGGCCAAGAGTACAAAAGGAAGCTGATAAACTCTACGACTAAACAAACTAAAAACTATTATGTTCTATCTCTCAACCCTCATGACATACTTTTGTTATTTCACAGAAATTCAGGTTTGAATTAATAATGCTTGGACTCCTCAGACTTCAGGAATTATTGAGCCAGAATTATCTGCATTAGAACAGGGTGAAGGGAAGAAACCAACTTCTAGCCCAGTCTCCCTTCTCTTCCCACCCCAGCTTGACAGATTTTGGACATGTAGACTTTTCAATCTGCACATGTAAACTCCATCCATCCAGTCTGTGGCGCTAGAGGTACATCACCAGCAGCATGGTTGCCTCAGTGGGCCAGACTTGAGGAAGAAGTTCCACACAGCTGGGACTGCCTAGCAGAGAATTCTGGGCTTTGAAGTAGGACAAGGCTCCAGTGGGCCTAACTTCTCTCCACAGAGCAGAGGAGGACCAAAGGAGGAGAGGAACTCTGAACACAGGACTCAGGGCAGGAGCCCTTCCCATCTATATCTACATCTATATCTAAGTGCAGTACTAACCTGAAGAATCAAACTTTTTTTAAGAATTATTTATTTAATTTGATTTATTCATTCATTTATTTTATTTTAATTTGACCAGAGCGAGACAGAGAGAAAGAGAGAGAGAAAGCACTCCAGCGCCTCAACCACCACGCGCTACCTGCTGGTCCCCAGAAGAGTCAAACTTTAAAAGCAAAAGTGAGTGAGTTTGTTGAAGAAGAAAAAAGGATCATAAAGAAAAATATTTTAAAGTTAACTGAGTCAGAGTTTCCAGAACTTTCTGCCAGAATAGAAGAAAGCCACAGCTTAAGAAGCAAGGAGAAGAGATAGCAGAAGCTACCTGATTCCGCCTACCAGGCTCCATGCCTTAGAGCTTTTCCGCTAAAATCCCCTCCCTCTTCTGAGCCTCCCCAACCCCCTTAGTTCAGCTCTGTGCCATCCAGCCCCCTATTCATAGAAATAAAGACAAGAGATATAGTAGTAGGAAACTGTCAAGTAAAACCAACATTTACTGGACACAGCTGCCCCACCATTTCAGACTCAGAAACATTTCAGGAAAAGGGGCCTCGTCATCTAAGGGACAGGAAGCCTCTGTTCTGCACAGAAGTCCTTGAAGACCCTACAGGACAAGTTAGAATGTTAACCAGAACATGAGGACTAGACCCAGAGGGTCAGGCAGAATTAGGTTCTTAGTTGATGCTTTGGGTAGTGACATGGGCAGGGACCTAAAGTGGGTCTCCCTCTGGCCCTTCCTCTCTCCTTTCTTAAATCAAGTTAAACTAGATACATACCAAGCGCATGAGCAGAGAAATGGATTCTCTATTCCTGGTTTTAAGTTTGTCGGTCTCCTGGCCCAGCTGCAAGAGGCTGACAGAGGCCACCTGTAAGGGAAGCATTTGTAAAGAAGTAGATTTTTATGGAGGTCAGAATAGGACAGCCTCAGGCTACAGGAAGTTAAGAAAAGATCAAGGAGCAGAGTTAAGAAATGCTAGAAAAGAAGACTCAGTGGAAAGTTGGCAAATCCCCCAGGTTTCTGAGACATAGGTTGCCTGCAAAATAGCTTGGACCCCACTGGCCTGCCAGTGCAGACAACAGGAGGTTGCCCGGGTGCTGGGAGGGAGCTTGCAAGGGGCAAAGCAAGAGCTCAGAACAAAGGCAGGTGATGCTGTGTGCCTGGAGATTGCTCCCTTTTTCTAGGCAGCCTCCAGTCACTGCTGTCATCAAGCTGTTTACAGCTGACTCCCCACCTGAACAGAGAGCTGGGCCTCTGGTTCAGACATGCTCTTGGCATTCTCCTCCCATAAACTCCCAAGTGGCTGTCATCTCCATTCACCTCCAGGCCCCCAAAAGATCAAAGGAGGAGGAAGAACTGTGATTCATTGTATCCCAGGCCCATGTTACCTACATTTAGCAAACAAAGGGGATAAAAAGGAAAAGAAGAGAGAAAAATTTCTTCCCACACCATCCTACAAATCTAGTGTGAATCCTCCTTAGATGTAAGATGCTAAGAGCCCATTCTGTTTGGTTGGTTATCCCAGTTTAAATAGACACCCTCTGGAACCAGCAAGTGGCATAGTGACTAAGATGTTGAACTCCTACATGGCCGACTACAGTTTGAGTCCTGGACCCTGCAGCCTAAAACATGCCAGGTGCATGTGCACGTGTGCCCAAAATCCCAAGAAAAAAAACAGAGGAGGAATCTCTGTATGGCCATCCGCATGGGGGGGTGATTTCTTACTTTCCCTTTCTCTGTCTCTCTGTCTCTCTTTCTCGCACATGTGTGCATATGCATACACCCTATGGCAAAAACCTACAAATTTTTTTTTTAATTAAAAAAAGAAAAAAACACAGAAACCCTACAACTAAGCTTCTGGTCTATGAAATGTATTATGTAGACAAAGGTTTAATTCCTGATAGAAGGATATGATCTGATCTACTGTGTTTCCTCCTGGAGGAGACAGATGAGGCCCTATTTCTTAAATTAGATACATGCTTTACAAAGGAATAAGCTCTCTGTCACTAAGAATTCTCAAGCAGGCACTGTGTGATGGACAAGGCATCAGAAGTGTATGGACGGGATTTCTCCACGGAGAACTTACCATGAAAAACCCTAGGGACTCTTTCAAAAGAGAAAAGAGATTATTTATTCTGTGTTTTTCCAGAGGCAAAACTAAGATCAATGGTGATAGTTACAGGGAGTCAAACTTTGGCTAAAACATGTTTTTGAACTATTTTTTTCAAACAAATTGGATGTAACCTACAGTGGAACCAGCTGCCTGGTTATAAACTCCAGTCCCTAAAAATCTAGACCAGTGGTTCCCAAAGTGAGATCCCAAGACAAGCAGTATCAACATGTCCTGGGAACTTGGACATGCACACTTTCCAGCCTCATGCTTGTCTACTGAATTAGAAATTCTCTAAGTGATTCTTATGTACACTAAAGTTTGAGAACTAGTCATGTCATTGATTGTCAGTTACAACACTGGTAAGGGGCTTGTAGATTATAAAACTCAATGGCTCTACAACTTTAATGTGCATCTGATTTCCTGGGGATCTTATTTAAAACAAAGAAACCTGGACTCACCCTACAATATCCTAATTCAGCAGGTCTGGGTAAAGATCAGGAATCTGTAAAATTTTTTTTTTTAATCGTGGTACAGGTAGTTTTTTGTTTCTGTTCTTTTTTGTTTTTTTCTATTTTAAAGAATTATTTTATTTAACTTTATTTATTTATTTAGTTTTCATTTGACCAAAGAGAAAGAGAGAGAGGGAGGGAAAGCGAGGAAGCAAGCCGTCAGGTCCGTGACTTGAACTGTAGTTGGCCATGTGGGAGTCCAGCACCCTTAACCTCCACGCCACCTGCCAGCCCCAGGAATCTGTATCTTTTAAAGGTTATTGTATTTATATATTCTTTAAGCAATTTTTCCTTATTCATTATATAATGTGTACACATGTGAGAAGAATGAGAAAGAAAAAAACACCCTCCACAGGGTCTAGTCACTCCTCAATCGCCCTCTTCTAACCCTCCAGCTTATTGGACCTTGGGCACTAGTGTGCCACTGTCATGTCTCAGCCAGTCGGGCCAGGGGTTTAAATTATGGGTACCATGTGGGATCTGGCTCCCTCGAGCAACTCATCACCACTATGCCACAGGAATCAGGCTATATTTTATTTATTTCTTGAGAGAGAAGTACCCTCAACCAAAGTCTTGTGACATCACAGTCCTTCCCACACCCTTTCAGTCAGCCAGGACCATAGGCAGGTGCTAGGGGTACCCAGCCATGTGGTGCCAATATCACATAGTAGTGTCCTACTGTCTGGACCTCCAAGGCTAGGCAAGGAATCTACATTTTAACAAACTCCCCCAGAATATTCTGATGCACACCATGCTGGTGAATCACGGATTCCATTTAATCTTCCTATTCAATAAATGAGAAAACTGAGGCCCTAAAAGTCTTGTTCTTCAAAGGTCGTACAACTTCTTAGTGGCAGATCCAACACTAGAACCCAGAATTTTATTTATTTTTTTATTTATTTTTTGAGATTTTTGCTATAGTGCACATGGGCTTGCCTGAGAGACAGAAAGCAAGAAATAACCCACACACACACCTCCTGGGGGGATGGCCACACTGAAATCCCTTCTCCTCAGTTCTCCTCTCAGGACTTTTGGGCACACATGCACACACACCTCGGGAGAGTTTCAAGCCACCAGGTCTGGGACTCAAACTATGATCAACCATGTGGGAGTCTAGCACTTTAACCACTACACCACCTGTTGGCCCCCAGAACCCAGATTTTCTAACTGCTCAGTACAGTGTTCTAAGTATTAAGGCAACACTGAAGCACCAGCTGTTAGACAATTTACAAGACAGGCCTGCCTTTCACAAAGTAGCCTTGTACTATTTATTAAATAAATTTGGTGGGAGGTTAGGCTCAAAAGTCTGTTAACAGTAACTGTCTTTGGATATAAGTTCATCCCCATTCCTGGCCTTTAAAATCTTCTAGTCCCTATAACCCCGATCTACTCACCACCAGAAACTCCTTGAGGTGTGTCTCAATGTTTTTATTGTAGAGTGTGAAGAGGGCAGCAGACACCTGGATGATGGCTTTAGTCAAGCAATGAATATTATTGTTATAACCTAAGTTATCGAGAGAGGGAAAGA